TTCATTATAAAAAAGGAGCACAATCAGTGGAAATTCGCAGAGGTGTCTTGTAGAGCTTTTCGAAATTTTATGCCACTTGAAGCTTGGAAAATCGGACATTCGAACGATCATAACTTCTTTCAAAAAGTCGTTTCTTTAAAAAAGCGGTGGAACCACCGCACAAGGCTCTTGAGAGTGCTATAGGAGCCATCTGAAAAGTCACTTCGACCTGAGGACTTTCCAGGTGAGTTGAAAAATTTTTTGCACAAAATGTACATTAGAGGAGACAGCCAGGCGATAACGAAACATAAGAGCACTGAAATTTGTGGTGCATACCTGATTCATATTATTATGTACAATAATTAGCGATGAAAGAAATATCAATCCATTTTCTGTTGCTTTGAAATAATTTACTCTCAGAATTTGGAATACACCCTGCTGTTGGTACTTTTGATCACTTCAATCTTTTTCAAATGACCTCAAGCTTTCCGTTAAAAAAGTTCTTGACATGAGAGGAAAGGAAAGCTTAGTTTGTGGCTTACTCAGAAGATTGTGCATTTCGGCGCTTCCTTCCTAGTTAAACTGCACGCTACATTTTTGAGAGTAAAGTTTATTCGATACATATCAAAATCAAAAATTTTCGAAGAAAATATTGGAAAGCTTTGTGAGCGGCAACGCACAGCTTCGAGCACTGCACTAGAACACTCCGAAAAGGCAATTGTCAAGCTCGGAGGAAAACTAGTGTGTCTTACCGTATTATCTATACTGCCATAAACATTGCGCTTCCATTCAACAAAATTATGTACAATCCGCCGTCGGAAGGAACCTAAGTGATTCTTTTTTGGAGAAAAGACATTTGCTAACTAATTGTAGCCCATTGGTTCGGTCAGCATAGTTCGTCATTTCCTAGAGGATTTCGCAAGCGAAACACAAGTGACCATTTAAGGAATTTTTCTAGAATCCTTGATATTTCAATATCTTTCGTGATAGTAGTAAGTTTTTGACTGATAATGGAATGCACCAGTGCTCAAATCTAATTAGACGTATTCGGTGTCACCCCTACCCGGCTCATCTGGAGAGTCAGAATTATGTATACACTGTTACAAATACAACATACTCTTTTTCATCGGGCTCTGCTACATCTACGGTAAGAAAATTTAAATGAGAAAGATTAATGAAAAATATTACCGTTCGCCCTGAAAGGTAATGCCTTCACCGTGTATCTTTATATTAGCATGTGTGCCATCACTCCAGTATCTTTATATTAGCCGTAAACTTTGGCGTCAATACAAAAAGCTTTGCAGCCACTGAACAAGACAAGTTCTAAAATTCTTTTTGCAGAAGAGATGCGAAGGTCTGACAATGATTTTTTATTGCCTACCTTAGGATTGAATTTCCTTTTGTGATTCTCTTTCATTGAGCTATCACCCCTAAATAATGAAACACGGTAGGGTCCTAGCATTAATATGGATGGTCACATCTAATCCCATTTTACAATCTAATATGATCTCTGGTGGAAAAAGGAATACTATAAAATAAACAAGGAATTGAGAAGAAAACTTTTGACGTCATGCTGATCGCATGTTCTTGGGACTTCTGTTAGGCGTTTACATGTTTTTTCGATCAGCATTAGCTCAAATAATTAAATAAGGCCCCAATAAGTAACTATTTTGAAGTGATTGAATTAGAAGTCTGCAAGTAGATCAAAGACATCAAGTTTTTTCAAAAGTGTTGAATCGTTTGCGCTGTCGCTTCAACTATGTTTTAATCAGGGTCTTGCAAGCATTTTACATACCGAAAGCCCTAAGTGCAAAAATTGTTTGTTCGCACTGCCTTTAAAAACAGCTTACCGGTAGATACTCTACTTCCATTTTTTAAAATCTTATCCGGACTGTTTGTGGCTGGTTTTGAATATGGATTTCGAAGAATTCATCAGAAAACCTATTTTTGGAGCTATTTTTTGTGCAACAAGGATGCCTTGGCGCTATCCTCTTTGAACGAGAGCGTGACAGGCATCATACCTCAATTTCTTTTGAGTGGGCGGGCCGCACACGGTTCCACTTATACCTCAATTTTTCGTTGAAAAACAGTGTAAAAATACCGTTGAGCATTGAATTCAGTTTGATTTCCCGTATTTGGCCATGATTTGCGGAGGTTGCTAGAGCCGCTCGGACGCTGCATTTGAGTCACAATGGAACTTGAATTGACAGAGCATGTTGCTTGAGCAGCAGCAATTTATAGAAAAAAGAACACAAAATCGGTGAGCTTAATACGAGACGATGATTTTCTTAGAAAGAGTATTTAGAAAGAATAATATTCTTTTCGTGAAGAGATGAAACTACAATACAGAAGACACACATGTGACTTCGTCCTACTAAAAGTGTGGCAGGTTTTTCTAAACCTGTGCTCCGATTTGTCCCATTATCGGAGAAAACATTGTCCAATGAGATTGGGGATAGTCTATAGCTTACAATTACTCTCTATTTATGTTTTGATTGATTCGTCCCAATATGGGATTATGTAGTGGAAATAAAATGTAACAACGTGATAGTTGAAACATCGTTCCTTTATTAAGGCTGCGACGGCCTCGCGAAGTATTTTAGTTTGCCAACATAAACCGTGTTTGCAACATTTTAATGGTTCTTGTTCTTCTTTCATTTTTGTTCTTTTTTACTTCCCCGTTCAACTAACTTGTTTTCAGAAATCAAATCTGGACTTCCGTGCTTGAAGGAATAGTAGTTGTGAGTTTATAATAGTCTCCTAGCCCTACTACAAATAGGCTACTAACAAGGGAATGGTCAGAAGTCGAAGTGGCCAATACAAGCTCTGAGCAGGGCCATATGTTCAGGAATGACTTGTTTTGCTTTTAAGTGATTGAAATTTCTTTGAGAAAGTTTAAATTAGTATCGTGAGAATAATTTTTTCTTTAAGGTTGTAGTCCCGGAGGAGCTTTAGAAAGCATCCCAAAACTTTTTCTGGTTGCTGTAAAAGTTTTTCCAAAGTGCAATTGCTGTCACAATAGTTTAGAATGCAATGATAACATTGGGCATTTCAAAACCCTTGTGGATACATGGTTGCAAATCTCACTTTGTTTAAATAATGGATGCTTCGCTCTTCGGGGTCTAAACTAACATCTGATTCACCCATCAACAAGTTATTATCAAATCAATTAAGAATGGAGATGAGATGTCCTCCACAAGCAAAGCAAAATTTCTTCGGCACCAATTTGGTTCAGCTAATATGTTTGGATAACATTGAGCAGAGTGAGATCTGAAATTTTGCAATGAAATGACAATTTTCACCGTGTCAGTCAAAGTTTGCTTTTACAATGGGGAGTCAAAGCGAAATTTAACTTGGATATTTTCAAGCGCTCACATTGGTGATGTCTCTAATTAAACACACATTCCTTTAGTGGTGATAGCTGCTTCTCTATTTGAGCGATTATTTCCAGCAGTAACTCCGAAGACAATTTAGCAAACAAAAATGAGTACCCTAGCATTGCTTGCGTAAGGCAAATGAAAACACTGGCTTTCTGATAACGTAGAAGTCTAAACTCCCAACTATTTGGAAAGTTTCATTTGGAAACGGCAAGACCATGGGTGCAATTTGCCCCGTCATGCAAATTCTATCACTTATCCCACATAAAACGTCTTCCTCATTCAGACAATAAGCATTTACATTCTCCCTTGTAGTCGTGAAGCAAACGTTACCATTCTCAGATTTCACTTTAGCTCGAGCTAGTTTAGTGGAACCAAATCACTAGGAGAACATGTGATAACAAATGCTGATGAAGATCCTCCTTCGTTATATTCTGTCTACTGAGCTATGCAGAGTTCAAATATCTTTGGAAGACTGTAAACAGCGCTGACACAAATGTTTATCACTTATATATGCAGCGAATTGACTGAACAATACTGAAAATGTCGCTATAGAGGAAAGATCTTCCTTTATGCAGTGTGTGCAGCTCCACATCATAGAATTCGAGAACACTGATCATTATGTTCCAATTAATTCTAATTTCTTTCTATTTGACATGCGAAAGAAGCTTACGGAGACATGATTTGAAAACCAAATCTTGAATGAGAAAGATACATGCAAGACAGTGGCAGATTGGAAGAGGAAGGGGGGAGGGAAGAGAAGAATGGTTTGGCGAACCTCTGGAATGGTCTCTCTGAGTTAAAATAATATGTATGTATGCTATTTTCCTTTGTGCATAATAATCTGGTCAGCGAGCATAGCTAAAATTTATAAGACCCTTTCTTCCAAGGTTACAAGCTCGCAAGTAATTTCCAAACTATTTTCCTGTTCCTTCGTCTTCTCTCCCCCATTCCTAAAAAGATTTTGGATCGCAACTGAGGGACGAGACAAATACCAAAAAAGCTTCTGTATATCTCAAGTCATTTGTAACTTAATATGCGTATTGCACGACATACGCGCTATTTGACGAGCTCGTAAGAATAGAACCTGCTCATTTCCAGTGATTTCTTTATGTTTCCTTGCCTTTTCAATTTGTTTGGATGTGTATCAGTCAATAGTACATATTCCTACAGTTCATTGTGCAGCAAAAGGCTTCACTGAGATGTTACTGATAAAGTTGCCTTTGGTCGAGTTAAAAAAGACTCGACCATACGTTATAATATCTGCCTATAGTCACGTATAACGTGATAGTTGGCATGATCCGGCCCCTTTTACTACCTGTCCTACCTCGGATCCTACCCCCCCCCACCCTCCTCCCTCCTTCCGCTCCCCCCTCCCCAATTGCAAGAAGTGTGAATTTGTCCTTTCATGAGAATTAACATTGTGTAGTCTTACATTTGAATTAGAAGTCCTGACGATAATAACTAAGCTGTTCACGATTTCTTAAAGAATTGATGTTTTTCATCTGAAACACTTGCAATCCCTCTTGCTTCCTCATAATTCTTCCTTTCGTCCTTTTCTATGCCTTTATGAGAATTACTGTACAACGGATTTTGTTAATTCAAATGCTAAGCTTTATTGCATAGATCGCTAATATTAACGCTGACGCAAACTCATCAGTTCAAGACGAAAAAGACGTAGGTCTGAGCATCATTCTGGTCGAGACAGGATGAGTGATGTCATTACCTATGGTCCAGAACATTCCTGGAAATGGGGGATCACAAATTAATTGTCAAAAAAAACAGTTGCTTTGAAAGGCAGCGCTCTGCTTGTAAAAACAAAGCAGAGCATCACTTACCGTATCCGCCCGCTCCAGCAAAATTGTAATCACCATTGAGTGAAGAGGGTGCACAGTTTTGTAACCACCATCCTCTTAAAAGTGTTTTTTTTTTTGAAGAAAGAGCAGCCACTACATTTGTCAGCTAAAACAATAATACGCTTTCTGTTAGGCTGTAACGCAAATATGCAGGTTGTGCATAGCTGCGCTTGTAGGGTTGCAATTCCAATAAAAAATTTTTGAAATATTATGTAGACCTTGCCAGTGACTAGCTGCGTATTTGTCTGTATCAGCCAATAAGCACACAGGTAACCAAAAAACAAGATTTTTCTGAAGTTGTAGTTCGACAGTTTCTAAAGGTTCTTCCGAGATGTAAGAAGCTGGCATGAATAGCTAGAAGGGAAATCTCTAGGTTTTCCCGCAAAGGAAAAGGGCTGCAGACTTAAAAAAACTTAAATTCAACTCTAAATTTTCTTTTTTTCAGCACTTTGTATAATTTTAGATCTGGGGAGTTTTGACAACAGTCATAAATAGTTTGTGACAGTCCTGGTCCTACTCATATAGGTCCAGGAAATTTTAGCGAGTGTTTTTTTTTCAAAATTGTAGGTCAGTTAATGTTTGTGACATATATCATGTTTGAATTTTGATATTTTCGCAATTCTCACGTGGAAGCTCAACCTTGTAACTTCTGGATCTCCATAGCATGAATATGGCTAGAGCGAAAAGGCGCCTTCTGGCGAATGTGTTCAGATGACAGCATGCAAAGGAGAAAATTCTCAAGTTGGATTTTCTAGCTTACCGAACTAGTTACAATGAGCAGGTACTTAGGAAAACTGTAGTTTCGAAAATGCGCTCACATGCATTATTCAATGGAAACATAGCAAAATGGCACAAACTCACCCCAGTTTATATTATTGCCACACACAATTCGACTGAGGATCATTGATTTGATCCACCGCAGAGAAATTCGCGCCAACAGAATATATCTATACATCGGAAAAAATATATATATAATACATATATAACTAGCTGGCTTACCCGGCTCCGCCGTATGTTCCGAATAGAAAATTCCATTTCTTAACCGATCCGGACCAAACTTGGCACACATACGCTTCGGGCCTCGGCGGGTGTCACAGTCCACTTTTCGTTATCGATCGATGTCGATTTTATCGATTTTTTGGTGATCAGCATGCTCGATTACCCCCTGTGCCAACTCCCAGCCCCGTAGCTCAAATTTTGCAAAAAATCGATAAAATCGATATCGATCGATGACGAAAAGTAGCCTACGACATCCGCCGGGCCCGAAATGTATGTGTGCCAAGTTTGGTCCGGATCGTTTCAGAAATAAAAATTTCTATTCGGAACATACGTACAGACAGACATACATACATACATACATACAGACAGACAGACAAACAGACATTCAGCTTTATATATAAGATATATACAATTATATCTTATATATAAAGCTGAATGTCTGTTTGTCTGTATGTATGTATGTATGTATGTATGTGTGTACGTATGTTCCGAATAGAAAATTCCATTTCTGAACCGATCCGGACCAAACTTGGCACACATACACTTCGGTCCCCGGCGGGTGTCATAGGCTACTTTTCGTCATCGATCGATATCGATTTTATCGATTTTTATCGATTTTTTTGCAGAGTTCACCCACGGGGCTGGGAGTTGGCACAGAGGGGTAATCGAGCATGGGGATTCCGAATACAATATTGGTTTTCAGGATTATCGATTACTTTTATCGATTTTATCGATTTTATCGATTTTTTTGCAAAGTTTGAGCTACGGGGCTGGGAGTTGGCACAGGGGGGTAATCGAGCATGCTGATCATCCCCAAGGGGGGTGATCAGCATGCTCGATTACACCCCTGTGCCAAATTCCAGCCCCCTAGCTCAAATTTTGCAAAAAATCGATGAAATCGATAAAAGTAATGGACGATCTTGAAAACTAATATTGTATTCGTAATCTGCATGCTCGATTACCCCCTGTGCAAACTCCCAGCCCCGCAGGTCAAACTTTACAAAAAAATCGATAAAATCGATAAAAGTAATGGACGATCCTGAAAACTAATAGTGTGTTCGTAATCAGCATGCTCGATTACCCCCCTGTGCAAAATCCCAGCCTCGCATGTCAAAATTTACAAAAAATCGATAAAATTAATAAAAGTAATCGATAATTCTGAAAACTAATATTGTATTCGGAATCCCCATGCTCACTTCCCCCCCTGTGCCAACTCCTAGCCCTGTAGGTGAACTCTGCAAAAAAAATCGATAAAAATCGGTAAAATCGACATCGATCGATAACGAAAAGTGGACTGTGACACCCGCCGGGGCCCGAAGTGTATGTGTGCCAAGTTTGGTCCGGATACGGCGGAGCCGGGTAAGCCAGCTAGTAATATATAAAATGTATCAGAAATCTGCACCTCAAGCTAAACAATAAGATATAAGATATCGCTATCTTGCTTTAGATACAGAGAGACGAGAACGACCATGATATATTAGGTTGTCCCGAAAGTTTTGTCCGTTTTTTCAACCTATCGTAAAAACACGTGGAACGAAGATAGGGAAACGCTCTAAGCAGTACCCGGCGCAGGTTTTCCTCCTCTTTCTAACTGTCATGCAATGCCGATTACTCTTTTGCTCACTGAGATAAACGCCGAAATTTCGAACCCATGGTTTTTACTATGTCCAAGTTTGGCAATTTTTCGCAATCTTCATTCTCAACTTTTGGAAGACCTTTGATAGCGCTCAGATAGAGTAAACAAAGGGCAATGCAATGCAATTTTTTGGCATATCCAGCTGGCTGTTCAGTATTTTTTAAGATAATTTTTCCAAAAGTCCTCACTTTTGCATAGTCCCAAAATACAGAAACGTCTCGAACACTAGCAAATCATCGGATTTTGAAGCTGTCAAAAATCGATTACTAATATTCACTATTATTACAAAGCAACTGAGCGTTTACCGCTTCGAAATGTAAGATTTCGCGTTTTACGTGTACACGCTGGGGCGGGGTCAAATTCAAGAATTATGGAAACTTTATCGTTAAAGACGCCACAAATTGGAGAGAAAATGCACTCATTAGAAAGAGGAAGAAAAACTGCGTCAGGCAGCCTTGAAGCGTTTTCCTATTTTCGTTCCACGTGTTTTTATGATAGGTTGAAAAAACGGACACAACTTTCGGGACAACCTAATATGTTCGGGCCTCTGCAAACTCAGTTTTTTTTGATTTGTTAACAAATGTTTACCAGTTATAAACCTGAAGAGCTGCGTCGTGCTGTTCAGATCTATAAAGGCGTTTAATGATGGAATCAATACAACGAGAAGGAGCTCAATTCTGAAACGCTTTTACTGTTTGCATGAACATATTGCAAGGAATGATTGAATTCGAGAAGCGCTCAAACAAGCAGATTGGGATGACAAAGAGAGTGAATAGACAGTTCCAAATGTTAACAGGATGTTCAGTACATAGAACCAATTTCAAGCAGTCACTAGAGACTCGAAAATTTAGCAAAGTAGTGGTTTACCTCTGTTAATGAGAGCGCCAACTAGACCTTGCGTTTTGTTTGTAGCCGTTGTTTTCTTAGAGAATTGGGCTTTTCCCTGTAGTCGACATGGCGTTTCGTTGAATAGTTGAGTAGGTTACTTATCTTAGTCTTCGGCTTTTTAGGTCATAAAAAAGGCGAATCTGCCGAAGCGTCATGTGCAAAGAAGTCCTGTACCACTCCGTTCTGCCGAAGTAAAATAATCAGAAGAAGACAGTGGTCGGAGCAGATATATTGGTAGTTGCGTGCTTCATTTTATAACTTTTTGGGGTGCTCTTCAAAATTTTTGCGGGTCCCCACCTCTGAAATTTGGAAAAAGGAGACGTGGCGTCAGCTACGCCTTCGAAAAAATTTTTCTACAAGACTTGAATTTTTAGAAATTTTAGAAATTTATTTCAATGTTTACAAGAATAAACGACTAATCTAAATTTTTTAAAATTTTAAAAATTTATTTTAATTGTTTACAAGAATAAGCAAGTCACTTTCGCACTTTTATAATCCATAGAAGTAATTTTCAAAAATTTCGGGACCCATTCCCCCCCCCCCCCTCGGTCCGCCACTGCTGTCACTCAAGAGACTATTTACAAAACTGCAAAACAAAAACGCATCAACAGGACTCTACTCTAACCTTCGACCACTCGATCTGCTTCACAGTCCGCTGTCTTGCCGCTGTACCACTCCCACACATTATGTCTACTTTATCGCCTCGCCCATGAGTAGGCGCGCCGGCTGCGCCGGAGAAAAATGGCCTCGTAACTCCTCACACAAAACCGCTCGGCAACTAGCGAAAGTAGTTTTGAGATTGACTTACCGAGAAAAGTTTCCTATATTGTTTCTCATCGACTCCATTAGGTAATTGTGAAGCTACTGACTGATTCCATACGGGTTAAAAAATCATTGAGCTCCATCGCTGCCGTACCATGCTCCCCACAGATTCACATATTATATTGTAGAAGATTTTAGCCGATGTAGAAATAGTGGCTTTTTTGCATTAAATAGCTTGTTTCAATCGCACAGCAATGACTATTTCTCGACTGTGACCCAACAGGCTTCTTACAACTGCAAAACAAAATGCCGTCCACAGGTTCGAACCTTCCACCACCTGGTTAACAGGTCCGCTGCCTTGTCACTGCGCCTCAGCCACTCTACATGTGTAATTTTAGCGCCTCGCCCATTAGCAGGCCCGCCGGCTGCGCCGGAGAAAAATGGTTTCATAACTCCTCCACAAACCCGCTCGTCAACTAGCGAAAGTAGTTTTGAGATTGCCTTACCAAGAAGGGTTTCTTGGTATAGAGCTCATTTTGAAAGGCCACTTCGACCGGCCATCCTTCTCTTGTGAGAACCGCACGAACTTTTGGACCGACCTGATGTTACTCATATAAATTTACTAATTTCAGTAAAAGGAGCGAAACGAAGCATCAATGTTAGAATTTCCGCGAGCATAATGTGGAAATCTACAACAAGGGAAAGCTAAGATACTTTTGCAGATTTGATCGTTTGCAAAAAAACTAAAAATGTCATCATCACCTTTGATTGGTGTTGATCTAGGGAAAGCCGACGTGAAATGAAGAGAAACCAAGCCTGTAGCCTTTAGATTACAGCGTTCTCGAAAGTAAAAAATAATTCGTATCTTTATTTGTAGAGAAAAAGACAAGTATTACGAACAATCTCACAAATGAAACATTGGCAGTGGTAGGAGCTACGCTCGTAGAAAGTATTCAAGTACAAAGTAAAAAATAGAAAATCTCCCAATCGCTGATCATTGGGAATTTTCCAGAAAGAATAAGGCCAAACTGGAGGTCAACTTAAAATACTCACTGATTTTTTTGTTCTTTATCGTTATTATCTTTTATTCTTTATTCTCTATTCTTTTTTTTCATTTTACTATGCTAGCATGCCCTTTTTCCATGCTAACATGCATGTTTTCCTGGGCTCCGTACCGGACCGCGAAAAAACGATAACCTTCACACTCAAAACGATATTCAGCCCGCCCCGTAAGCCACGTATGCTGAACCCTGTGCCCATTTTCTGTTCACTCTTTATATTAAGGCCTGTGCATACAAGATCTGATAGGTTTATCTTGTTTTGCTTAACAATTATGTCTAAACGTTCCTGTGCTTTGGCCTTGCAGTATTCGAAACACCATCCTATGTTCGCAAAATTTGTGGGAGAACTAAAATATTATTATCAATATTCAGACCTAAAACATCACTATCAAAACTATCTTCACCGAGCTGCTCATTGACATAGCTGGTCGATGAGGCCCCTACGGGAGTTGCCATGACACAGGCACTCCAGAAGAGCAAAGAAGTATACATTGATGAACCTCATGTCGGATTCTAGAAAAATGCTTAAGTGTTTTAGGTCAATGAAAGAACAAGAGGATGTAAGCGGAACAAAATACAGTTATAAAGAACAGGAGGAGGATGGAAGAGACAGCAGATATGGCTCTTTAACGTTCAATTCAAAGGCTTTGATCTTTTTTTTTTTCAAACTCACTAATTTAGGAGAATAAAGAAGTGAATTTTATAAAAAAGGACAACGGGATAGATGCACTTATGCCATTTTGGTACAGCAAAAACATTAGGAAAAAAGTGAATGGATATGCGCGAACTCACACAATTTGGTAGTGAGTTGTGTGTAAAAGTCTGAAATACTTGGGATAATACTTTATAAAATGTAGAAATGAGCTATCCTCTTTGCCTTTTCCCCCAAAACGATATGCAGCTTGCTTGGTAGGCCACCTGTGCCTTGCCTTGGTCGCAACATGTTTGCACTAATCCTCACTATGTCGACACTACTTACAACTTGTGTTCAACATTTTGATTTTAGAGCTTATGCATTAGGTGAACACGCCAAAAGTTTCCATAAAATTCTATGTGTGGTTTCAAACCGCTCTTAAGAGCGCATAACGACCGTTAAAATGCGATTCGTTCCCGCAATATGTTTTTTGCAGCATTTTTATTCGACCTGATTAGAACGCTAGCCCGCTTAACGATACTTCGGCTTTTCTTGATGATTTTTCGTTAAAAATGGGAGCGCTAAAAATAAATATAAGTGTGCCTGTGTCAAGCAGCTTCATTCTTTTCTCTCCTTGACGGCTTTGCTGCCGCTTGTTTCATACCTCTCTAATATTGACAAAGCACAAATTTCTATAGAATGCTCATTGAAATATAAACTTTATTGAGCAAAATGTGCCCACGTTACACAACTCCTTAATTTCACCATACCCTCTCCTGTCTCTTCCATCCTCCTCCAATGTTCTTTACAACTGTATTTTGGTTTCCGCTTACATCGTCTTCGACCTATTTTTTCATTGTTCTAAAACACTTAAGCATTTTTCTAGAATCCGACATGAGGTTCATCAACGTATACTTCTTTGCTCTTCTGGTGTGCCTGTTCCATGGCAACTCCCGTGGATACAGCATCGAACAGGTATGTCAATGAGCAACTTGGTGAAGATGGTCTTGATAGTGATATTTTAGGTCTGAATTTTGATAATAGTATTTTAGTTCTGCCGCAAACTTTGCGAACAAAGATTGGAAAGATGGTGTTTCGAAGACTGCAAGAAACAAAAAGGGCGAGGTTTCGACGTAATATATAAATAAGCAAATCAAATAAACCTATCAACGCTTGTATGCACAGGCCTTAATATAAAGAGTGAACAGAAAATGGGCACAGGGTTCAGCATACGTGGCTTACGGGGCGGGCTGAATATCGTTTTGAGTGTGGAAGAGGTTATCGTTTTTTCGCGGTCCGGTACGGAGCCCAGGAAAACATGCATGTTAGCATGGAAAAAGGGCATGCTAGCATAGTAAAATGAAAAAAAAGAATAGAGAATAAAGAATAAAAGATAATAACGATAAAGAACAAAAAAATTAGTGAGTATTTTAAGTTCACCTCCAATTTGGCCTTATTCTTTCTGGAAAATTCCCAATGATCAATGACCCAATGATCATTCCCAATCAAAGGTGATGATGACATTTTTAGTTTTTTTTTTGCAAACGATCAAATTCTGCAAAAGTATCTTAGCTTTCCGTGTTGTAGATTTCCATATTGTGCTCGCGGAAATTCTAACGTTGATGCTTCGCTTCGCTTCTTTTACTGAAATTAGTAAACTTATATGAGTAACATCAGGTTGGTCCAAAAGTTCGTGCGGTTCTCACAAGAGAAGGATGGCCAGTCGAAGTGGCCTTTCAAAATGAGCTCTATACCAAGAAACCCTTCTTGGTAAGGCAATCTCAAAACTACTTTCGCTAGTTGACGAGCGGGTTTGTGGAGGAATTATGGAACCATTTTTCTCCGGCGCAGCCGGCGGGCCTGCTAATGGGCGAGGCGCTAAAATTACACATGTAGAGTGGCTGAGGCGCAGTGACAAGGCAGCGGACCTGTTAACCAGGTGGTGGAAGGTTCGAACCTGTGGACGGCATTTTGTTTTGCAGTTTTGTAAGAAGCCTGTTGGGTCACAGTCGAGAAATAGTCATTGCTGTGCGATTGAAACAAGCTATTTAATGCAAAAAAGCCACTATTTCTACATCAGCTAAAATCTTCTACAGTATAATATGTGAATCTGTGGGGAGCATGGTATGGCAGCGATGGAGCTCAATGATTTATTAACCCGTATGGAATCAGTCAGTAGCATCACAATTACCTATCGAAGTCGATGAAAAACAATACTGAATAGGAGAACTTCAACTTGCATCACAGGAATTCCATCCTTAAGACATTATCGCTCATTTAGACACAGTTCTGCTCGCCGCGATTCAAAAATTTCCTTTCATAACTATGGCATGCAGCCGGCTACGTTGATAATCATGCCGGCAAATTCGCGTCTCCTATGAATTGTTTTTCATCGACTTTGTTAGGTAATTGTGAAGCTACTGATTGTCCGTTTATATTTTATCCGATGTGCGCGCTGCGAGAATCTCTTCTGTTTTGAACATTTTGTGGTTGTATTCCGTACGTGTTAATATATCATTGAAATTATTGTAACATCATAGTCCCCACAGATTTATTAGGTTGTCCGGAAATTAATGTCCGTTTTGAATTTCAAAAGCAAAAAGTCATACACTTTTCATTCCTGGATAGCTTTCAAGGTACCGTTCGATAGAGCAAAACAAGCTCTACAAGATGGCAGTCCTGCTTTTGCAACAGCTCTGATCCACCTCGAGTTTCGAGCCAAAAACTAAAAAGATTCAACTACCCGAAAATCGAGAAAAATCATAACTCAGTTCATAAGAATCCTGCAAAAATTCTAATTTGCTCACGTAAACACTATCCACATAAGACATATACGTACGCTATTGCCGTATTTCTTCCTCTGCTAGAAATCGAAAAAACGAAAATGTTCATGCTTTTGCCAAAGTGATGCTGTGCCGTCCCCACATAAGTAGATGTGTACTACAAACCTGTAGAAGTACAAACGTAAATTTTCAGCTCTCTACAAGCTTTAGTTCTCGAGAAATATCGAATATAGCTTCCATTAGTCAGGTGGTCCAAACTAAAATTCATTTCTCGAAAACCAAAGCTTGTAAAAAGCTGAAAATTTACGTTTGTACTTCTACAGATTTGTAGTATACATCTACTTATGTGGGGACGGCACAGCACCACTTTTGCAAAAGAATGAAAATTTTCGTTTTTTCGATTTCTAACAAAGGAAAAAACACGGCAATAGCGCACATATATGTCTTATGTGGATAGTGTTTACGTGAGCAAGTTAGAATTTTTGTAGAATTCTTACGAACTGAATTATGATTTTTCTTGATTTTTCGGGCAGTTGAATCTTTTTAGTTTTTGGCTCGAAACTCGAGGTGGATCAGAGCTGTTGCTAAAGCAAGACTGCCATCTTGTAGAGCTTGCTTTGCTCTATCGAATGGTGGCTTGAAAGCTTTTCAGGAATGAAAAGTGTATGACTTGCTGCGGTTGAAATTAAAAACGGACATTAATTTCCGGACAACCTAATACATATTGTATAAGATTTTGGCTGATTGTAGAAATAGTGGCTTTTTTGCAGTAAATAGCTTGTTTCAATCGCTTATGACTATTTTTCGTTTACTGTCTCCCAATAGTATTTACAAAACTGCAAAAGGAAATGCTATCAACAGGATCCGAACCTTTTACCACTTGCTTGACAATCCGCTGCCTCGGCCCTGAGCCAGGGCTCAGCACCGCTGGTTTGGGGTCAAATTGGACTTGGTTTTTGGGGTAGAAGCAATATATAAGGTATATCGTTTTTCTAAGGTTCTGAGAGGAGTCCGGAAAAAAATCGGCAAACGTGTCAAGTTTCACGCGTTCTATCGCAAGCGCTTGAATAAGACTCAAACAAACAATAGGCTTGTTTACACCGCACAAACAATCCATGGCAGCGAATTTGGGTTATATGTAATACATTATTACTCCAAACAACATTATGTAAGAAGTTTCAAAAACTTATGTGTCCTAATACCCGTTCCCGAATTTGTTGGTTTCTAGATTAACACCAAACCAACTGGGTTGGTTCGGAGCATAAAATTTGGAGAGTTCACATAAGTTTTTAATCCTTTCAGTTTGGACGATTACAACGCTCAAGAATCTATCATATAGTGAAGAGAGTGAGTTGAACCATTGCCTCTTCTCTTTTTTCGAACCAAATCAGCATAGACCACGCAACTCGCGCTACAATCTATACGACGTCCTTCAACCCGTGTAGCGGAAAATGCATCGCCAAGCTGTTGAGGCTACAGATGTGGTTGGTTTAGGAGGTTTCGACATACTGAACCTCAAAATGATGCCATACTTAATAATGAAGCCTGTAATCACTCAAAATATGTTTTTTCGCTTTTTATTGCTACTTTGGGTGAATAAAAGATCCCCTACTGATTGTGACGTCAAAGGAGACTTCTTAATATTTCGCCAAGTCATGGGGGACTTCGTTTTCGAATTTGCTCCAAACCAACGCGTGCCAGGCCCTATTTCGACCCATGTATCTTGACTGATATGTTTTCCGTTGATTGGAGAGCTAAACAAATGAACAAAATGAACAGAAATCATTACTGCAAGATTATACCTTACAAGGGAACGATACTTAGTGTCCGGGCCTTTTGAGGTGAAATATATATCATCACCAGGGTAAAGCGGGGGGTGCGGCACTCGACCGTCGGATACGACCCCCCCCTGATTGCTGTCTTAATAAGACCCCCCTCCTAAACTATACACTTAAGATAGTATTACCTGAAGGCTCTGTCAAACATAATGGACAACATATCCATAATTAGCATGTCAAATACCCCCTGTAGACAAAGTGTGAGCGAATTCTGAAGATTCAAGATACTAGGCTACCTAAGTGAAATGGTCAAATTCCAACATGGTTAACTTTGTTTTAAAGGTGAATTAGCTATCCGTTTTTGAACTCAAGACAAAGCACTACTCCTTCTTTGTCCACCTCAGGAATCCCGCTTCAGAAGACCTCCAAACTGTGGAATTAGAAGCCAACCAAAATCTCATTTTTCCCATTTTTCGCTTTTGATGGCTGTGCTTTCACCAAATATTACTCAGAGCTAAGAAGACGAATCAGGCTCAAAACATCCCTATGGAATCTACGAGGTTTAGGCTATCGATTCATATAAATATTGTCCGCTAAAAATGTTTTTTTGATATAGTTAATGGCCTGCGGCACCCCCCCTCAAAACCTGCGGCTGCCGCAGGGGTGCCGCAGGGGTGCCGCAGGCCATTAACTATATCAAAAAAACATTTTTAGCGGACAATATTTATATGAATCGATAGCCTAAACCTCGTAGATTCCATAGGGATGTTTTGAGCCTGATTCGTCTTCTTAGCTCCGAGTAATATTTGGTGAAAGCACAGCCATCAAAAGCGAAAAATGGGAAAAATGAGATTTTGGTTGGCTTCTAATTCCACAGTTTGGAGGTCTTCTGAAGCGGGATTCCTGAGGTGGACAAAGAAGGAGTAGTGCTTTGTCTTGAGTGCAAAAACGGATAGCTAATTCACCTTTAAAACAAAGTTAACCATGTTGGAATTTGACCATTTCACTTAGGTAGCCTAGTATCTTGAATCTTCAGAATTCGCTCACACTTTGTCTACAGGGGTTAATTGACGTGCTAATTATGGATATGATACGAATATCATGTTATCGCTATAATCAGATCACCTAACTACGACCCCCTCCCCATTTGACTCCTCAATACGACCCCCCTCTGCGGCGTGCCGCACCCCCCGCTTTACCCTGATCATCACACTCGTCTTTGAACGCTGATTCCGAATCTGACTTCCTTATCTGCTGAACATTTCTCTGAAAGAAGTTATGAAGGATTTTCGCGCCAAAATTGGCTGCCCGAGGCAAATATTATAGGAATACCAACATGTTAACACATTAATATGCAATCATTTTTCGTTCATTTTCATTTTTATAAGCACCTTTTGGAGTAAATGCAGGAACACTCATATAAAAATAACTCCTCGTTGAATTTTTCAAGAGTAAGGAATTCACCTCAAGGAAACCTAACATTCGAAAAAAGCTTAATTGAGGCAATGCAAAACTGAAAAATACAAAAGGATCTGAACTTACACCTGCATCAACTTGTGAGGCTATCGCACTAGCCACTACACCACAACTACCGCCAGTATTATTGTTCCTGTCATATCTCGGG